CCCCCCCCCCNCCCCCCCCCCGGAACGCCATGAAGCGCGACGTCTACCGGCCGCCGATCTACGCCTGCACGGACTACCTGCCGCCGAAGACGCGGAAGCGGCTCGCCAAGGTGCTGGCCAACGCCTTCCTCGTCTTCTACCAGCTCGCCGTGCTGACGACCATCGTGCTGCCGGCGAACCTCATCACGAACGCGAGCACGTTCAGCGGCACGGACATCTCCCAGAGCCTGAGCATCCAGGGCTTCTCCTACCGCACCTTGTACCTCGCGGAGCGCCTCAAGCTCAAGCGGAAGCTGCCCGTCGTCGTCAAGCTGCTGCCGCTCCAGGTCACGCTGCGCTTCATCCGGCCCGGGGACCGCCTGCCGAGCGCCATGGGCACCGTGGACCTGCCGGGCTTCAAGATCGACGCGCGCGCGGAGCACCCGACGCTCGACATCGAGCCCATCGCGTTCACGTACTTCGACGACTTCCTCGAGTTTTTGTGGGACTACGTCTGCACGGAGGAGCCCCTCATCACGGGCGTCGTCGGCGACGCCGAGGCGCTCATCTTCTCGAGCCTGCGCCACGTGCCCGTGGCCGTGTCCGTCGAGAGCAGCGCCGTGCTTCGCGGCGGCTGGCTCGCGCGTTTCTGCCCCGACCGGCGCGAGCCCGCGGCCGACGCGGCGCGCTAACACGGATGGACGGAAGATGGGGGGGGCTTAGGGCGCCGCGGCGAGCGCGACCTTGGTGACCGCGTGGTCGCTGGGGAACGCGAGCGTCGGGAACATGTCGTCCGCGGCGAAGGCGCCGTCGCCCGTGTTGTCCTTCGAGGCGGATAGGAGGGAGAAGTCGGCCGCGTAGAAGAGGATGAAGTCCTTGGGGTTGCGGTCGACGGACGGCGAGTCGAAGCGGTCCTCGCGCTTGACGGCCTTGTTGAGCTGCGGCTGGAGGAACGTGCGCGCGTTGAACGTCGTCGACGACCAGGCCGGTGCGTCCGCCGTGCCGTAGGACGACGCCATGCCGAGGCCCGAGAACTGGGCCGCGAAGTCGCCGACGAAGGCCTTGCCCTCGACGGCCTCGGCGTAGACGTTCGCGTCGAGGCCAAAGAGGAGCTTCGCGCCGGGCGCGCGCGCGGAGCGGTAGGCGTGGACGGCGTCGAGCACGGGCTTCGTCGCGAGGCCGTTCGTGTCCCCGTGGAAGGACACGAGCAGGTAGGCGTCGCCGCCGCGCGTCGCGGCGACCGCGGCCAAATCGCCCGGCGCGACGGGCGCCTTGCCGCCCGTAGCGTCCGCCAGCACGGCGACGACGTCCGCGGTGACGTCCGTCGCGCCGGCCCAGGCGCCGCGCTTGAGGAGCACGAGCGAGTTCTGGTCCCGCTTCGGGTCCGCGTCGCCCGGCGCGAGGAACTCGTAGGCGTCGCCGAGCGGCCGATTTTTCGCGAAATCCGCGAACGCGGCCGACGACTCCTGGAGGAAGACGACGTCGGCGTCGGCGTAGGTCGTCTCCAGGATCGACGCCGTGCGGTCGTACTTGCGGTCGTTGAGCGCGTCGCACATCGCGCCGCGGATGTGTTGCCAGTCGGCGCCCGTCGCCGCCTGCGCGCCGGCGAGCGCGTGGACGAGGATCGCGTCGAAGGCCGCGAGGAGCACGGCGCTCAGGGGCCGCGAGATGGCCTCCTCGGCCTCCGTGATGGCCGGGTACTTGGACTTCTTGATGGGGGGAAGCATGGCCGCGGGGGATTTCGAAGCGTCGCCGACGGCGACGACCTCGTCGAACATGAATTTTTGCCACGCGGCCCACCACGAGGCCACGTCGCCGAGGTCGCCGCCGCGGTAGCAGTTGATCACCGTCGGCCGCGTCCGCGTCGCGCCGCCGGCGCTGATCGTGTTCGTCACGCGGTCGGGCATGGACACGAGGCGCTTCGCGCCGAGCGCCGCGTCCTTGAGGAAGCCGGAGACGATCTTCCGGTGCTTGTAGTCGGCCTCCCAGATTTCCGCGACGGCGTCGAGGCCCTCGAAGCCCGTGGCCTCGAGCCTGGCCCGGAGCTCGGCGAACATGGCGTCCGTGAAGACGTCCGAGAGAGGCACGTCGGCGTCGCCCGGCGCCTCGATCAACGCGCCGACGCCGGCCATGAGCGCCTCGTAGGCCTCGCGGCCCTCGCCGTGGTACGTGATCCAGTACTCGAAGGGGTTGTTGTTCACGGCCGCCATGTTCCACGTCGCCGCCGTCAAATCCGCGCCGGCCTCGCCGCCGCGCAGCGCCGCGAGCTTCGCCCGCAGGCTCGCGACGAGCGCCTCCTCCTTCTCGAGCGACCGCCGCAGCTCCTCGACGAGGCCGTAGGCCTCGCGCGCGAGCGCCGCGACGGGCGCGGCCGCCGCGGCGACGGCCGCGGTCTCGGCCTCGGGCGCCGCCTCGGTCTCGGGCGCCGCCTCGGTCTCGGGCGCCGCGTCGGTCTCGGGCGCCGCCTCGGTCTCGGGCGCCGCCTCGGTCTCGACGCGCTCGACCGCGGCCGCGGTCGTCGTCGCGCCGGCCCTGGCCTCGAGCTCGTCCGCCTCGGCCTTGGCCTGCGCCGCCTTGGCCGCGGCCATCATGGCCTCGGCCTTGGCCATGGCCGCCGCGGCCGCCTGCTGCTCCGCGAGCGCCGCCGCTTCGGCGGCGGGCACGACCTCGATCACCTCCTCCAACGCGCGCCGCGACTTTGCGCGCTGCTCGTCGGCGTCGCGCGGTGCGACGGCGCCGCGCAAAGCGCCGTCGGCGGCGCCGCAGAGGGCGAGCAATGCGAGCACAGCACGACCCATTTGCTCTGTTTTTTTGTCGAGTCGGTGTGCGTCGACGTGCCGGACTGCGCCGAGATCGAGCCGTCCGGACCCGGGGGGTCGAGGTGGGTCGGTCGACAGTCTGCGAGATCGTCGCGGCCTTCGCCGTGGTCAAGGACGACGTGCGGCAGCTCGACGTGAAGCGCATGGTGCGGGAGCTGAACCTCAACGAGCAGGGCTCCGTCGAGCACTTCAGCCTCGCCGTCGACGCGCTGAAGCGCGCGTACAAAATCCCGAGACCGTGACGCCGCAGCGACATCTCCCTCTCGTTCGCCGCGCCGGCTTCTTCGCGTTGGGGCGCGGGCGCGTCTTGGGCACGCGGACCGAGAACACTTTCTCCAGCCCGAGGGCATCTGCCAGCGCGTTCGCGTGCGCGAGTTTTTCACGCGCCTCTTCGCGGTAAACCGCCAGGAGCGCCTCGTGTCGCCGGCGAGGAGGATAGGACTACGACTCGGAGTCGGAAGACCGCAGCCGGTCGCGATCGCGGTCGCACCCCGACGCGCGCGCGATGGGCGACACCGCGAAACTCGAATACCGCAACATACCGTGGTCGAGACACGCATACCGCGTCATCTGCGGCCCGCCGGGTGGGTCACGGTTCCCACTCAGGCTCAGGCTGGCATGCCAAATGGTCGCCCCTCAAGGATGAAAAACTCCGCCAGCGCGGCGATTACCTCGCCGTCGCCCACGTCCCGGTCGCACTCGCCGCAATTATTCTTGAGCTCCGCGCGGATGGCGTCGTCGTCGATGCCTGAGGAGGCTCGGCCCGCCGAGGCGTCCGCCGCGGTTGACCAAGTTATTGAAGGGGGAGCACACCCGAAGATCCCGCCGGGGAAGGCGCGGGCGGAGGCCTAGCCGGGGATCTGGCGAACCACACCGGCCCCCTCCTCCACCCTGAAGATCGTGCGCGCACTCGGGACGGAGGCGGCGGTACACTCGCGCCACGCCTGGTACCACCGCCACGCCGAGAGCACGCCGGGACTGGCGCAAGGCAGTAGCATCCTGAGTCGCCTCATTCAGACGACACTCAACGGACTCTCCGTGGACCGGGGGAGGTTGAGAACGAAGGCACCCGCACCCGACGGGCAGGACGTCCGGCTCGACTAGGCCGATTCAACCTCAGGACCACAAGTGGCTAGCCGAGGGCACCGCCGAAGAGGACACCCGTAGTCAGCGGGACCGAAGAGAGCAAAGACGCCGACGAAGAGAGCGAAGACGCCGACGTCGACGGAGCCGCACACAGCGCCACGCTACGAAGAGACGCTGCAGAATGCAGAGAAACGAATGGACACGGGCACATCGAAGCCCGCACACCGAAGCCATCGAGGGCGCCGACCCCACCAGCTCCCCCCAAGACTCACGCCGAAGGCATCCGAACGAAGCGAGCGCGCGCGGCAGCCCCCCGGGCCCGTGGGCGACGTCGCGCCGACGGCCAAGCACTGCAAGCTCTCGCGCTCGGCGCCCCGCCGCCCAATCGACGCGCGCAGCGGGGTGCTCCTCCCCGAGCGCCCCCCGGAGCCGACGCGGCGAGCCCCACCACCGGCCGCTGCGCGAAACCACCCCCGCGCACTCTCCGAAAGCCGCCCCATAAGCTTCGGCGTTATCATTCATGTAAAGTTGCATATGTTGCAGGTAAAGTGAACCGACTCAGAGCTGTCGCCCGACCGCGCCCGTGGCAAATGGCAGTGGCATTCCATTGGTGATAAGCGCACCCGCCGCCATGTGTCCGCGCCCCCTGCCCGGCGATGCCGGCGCGAAGCCGGCGGCCGACGACCGGTCCGAGCCCGGCGAGAGCGCGGAGAACGCGGCGGCGCGGGCGACGAACCTGCGCGTGGCCTACGCCTTCACGCTCCTCGCGGGCGTCGCGCGGGGCGTCTGGAGCTACAGCGTGCTGAGCGGCTACCTCTACGTGCTCACGGGGGATTCGAACTTCAAGGTGGGCCTCGCCGAGGGCGCCCAGGGCATCAGCCAGGCCGCGGTCTCGCTCTCCGCTGGCTGGGCCGCCGACCGGTACCGCCGCGACGCCGTCTGCCGCGCGGCGGCGTGCCTGGGCGTTTTAGCGTCGCTGGGCCTCGCCTGCGCGGCGTCGATCGGCGGCCTGGCGAGCGATGCGCGATTCGGGTGCCTGACGGCGTCGCTCGCGCTCTTCGGCGCGTACCAAGGCGTCTGGACGACGGCTTTGGAGACGATCTTCGCGGACAGCACGCACCGCGGCGAGCGGCGCGCGGCGGCGACGACGCGCAAGTTCGTCCTGACGCTGGCGGCGACCTGCGCGGGGCCGCTCATCGCCATCGCGCTCTTCGAGGGCTTCGGCGACGCGTGGACGCTGCCGGAGCTGCGCATCGTCCTGGCCGCGGGCGTCGCGCTCTGCGCGCCGCCGGCGCTGCTCCTGTTGAAGCTGCGCGACGTCCGGTCGCCGGACGACGCCGCCGACGACGACCCGGGCGCGGGCGCCGGGAAGCCGCGGCGGAGCGCGCTCGGCGCGCCGCGCTACGTGATCCTCGCGTCGGACCTGGTGTCGGGCTTCGGGTCGGGCATGACGGTCAAGTTCGTGCCCCTCTTCTTCAAGAACCGCGTGGGCTTCTCGCCCGTGGCGACGAACGCCTTGTACGTGGCGTCGCCGCTCTTCATGATGGCGGGCTCGAGAGCGTGCGGCCGCCTGTCGCGCGAGGCGCTCGGCCGGCCGCGGGCCTGCGCGTACTTCATGGGCCTGGCGGCGCTGGGGCTCGTGGGGTTGAGCCTGCTCGACTCGTCGACGGCCGACGGCTTGGGCGCGGGCTTCCCGCGCGAGCCGGACCGCGGCGCGCCGGGCCGGCCGCTCGCGTCGGCGAAGATGCGCGCGGCCGCCGTCGGTCTCTACCTGTTGACGAACGCGCAGCACATGTGCCGCCCGCTGAAGAAGTCGGCGCTCATGGACCACGTGCCCTACGGTGACCGGGGCAAGTGGAACGCCGTCGACGGCGTCACGCGCTTTGGGTGGAGCGGCTCCGCGGTGTTAGGCGGCTACCTCGTCGACCGCGGCGGCTACGCGCTGACCTTCCTCATCACGGCGGGCATGCAGCTCCTCGCCGCGGCGCTCTGGCTCGCCCTCGTCGGCGTCGTCGACCCGTCCGCGCCGGGCGCGCGCGCGCTCTGCGCGCGCCGCGGCGACGCGCCGTCGGACGACGAGTCCGACGCCGGCGGCGACGACGGCCCGCCGGCGCCGCGGGCCGCGAGCCACCCGGCGCCGGGGGACCTCGACGCGCCGCTCCTCGCGCGGCCGGGGGTCCGCCGCGCGCCGGGCAGCCCGCGCCACCGGAGCTACGAGGAGCACCTCCGCTCCGACTCCCTCGAGTCCGAGTCCTACCTCTCCGACTACTCGGAGATGCCCGTCTGAGAGGCGGGTCTAAGCCGCTTTTGTTGCTTTGAGGCCTGCGCCGACGGCCTCGCCGCGAAGCCCGGCCGCGCGCGGCGCGGGCCGCCGGGCGCGGGCGCCGAGCCTCGAGGCGTCGCACGTCGTCGAAGTCATTTTTTGCGCCCGAAGCGCCCGACGTCTTGCGACGCGCTGCCCGACACGAGACCCATGGCGCTCCTGCGGAAGCTCGCGCTCGTCGCGCTCGTCGCCGCGTCGTCCGGCGCGTCGCTGCGCGGCGGGCGGCGCCTGAACGAGCTCGAGGTCGTCCCCGCCGACGAGGCCGAGGCTTTGAAGGCCCAGGAGGACGCCCAGCGGGAGGCGGCGAAGAAGGAGGCGGCGGACGCCCTCGCCAAGGCCGAGCAGATGATGGCCGCGGCGAAGGAGGCGCAGGCCAAGGCCGACGAGGCCGACGCCAAGGCGAAGGCGGACGCCGAGGCGAAGGCGAAGGCGGACGAGGAGGCGAAGGCGGAGGCCGCGGCCGCGCCGGCCGCCGAGGACGCGCCGAAGAAGGAGAAGAAGGAGAAGAAGGAGAATGTCGAGGCGGCCGACGCGCCGGCGGACCTCGCCGCCCTCGCCAAGGAGGCCGAGGGCATCGTCGCGCAGCTCAAGACCGCGCTCGAGACCGAGGGCGCGCTCCTCGCGACGCTCACGGAGAAGCTCGCGACGCTCCAGGCCTAGGGGCGCGCGCTCGTTATGCTGCTCACACCGATGCGGGTCGACCCGGGGGCGCCGCGAGCTTCGAGGCTCGCGCGACTCGGCGCGGCGTCCGCCGGCGGAGTCGTCGTTAGAAGCCGCCCCCCCGCGCCGCCTCGTCGGCGCCGTCGCCCGCCGCGACGGCCTCGGCGGCCGCCGTCGTCGCGCGCCGCGCGACGTCGTAGCCGCGCCGGAGCGCGCGCGCGGCCGCCGCCGCCGAAGCCCGCGGCGAGGTCGCCGGGCGCGTCCGCGAGGGACTTGGCCGGCCGCCAGGCGAGCGACGCGAGGAAGAGGGCCAGGGCCGCCGCGAGCGAGAGCAGCGCGCGGCGCGCGCCGCGGCGCGCCGCGGCCGCGAGGCCCGCGTCCTCGCGCGGCGCCGCGGCCGCCGGGAGCCGCGGCGGCGGCCGCGCGGGCGCCGCCGTGGCGACGTAGACGACCGCGGGCCCCGCGAAGGTCCGCCGCGGCCCGGCCTCCGGCGCCGGCCGCCGCCCGAACCACGGCGCGGCGGCCGGCGGCGCCGCGGGCTCCGCGCCGGCCGCGGCGGCCGTCCAGGCGACGCAGCGGCTCGCGGCGACCTCGAGGCGCTCCCCGGGCTTCACGCGCCGCGCGACGACGCTCCCGGGGCCCTGGACGCCCGCGAGGCCGCCGGCGACCGTCGTCGCGCCGCGCGATCCGGCCTCGAGCGTCGCGCCCGCGGACGCGCAGAGGAGCGCGCCGGCGCGCACGGCGACGGCGGCCGTGCGCGCATCGACGGCGGCGCAGCCGTGGCCCGGCGCGCTCGGCGCGACGTGCGCCGCGAGCCGCGCGGACGCCGTCAGAGTCGCGTAGCGCGCGCGGCCTCCGCGCCAGCCGCCGGGCAGGCACCGGCGCCACCACGGCCGCCGCGGCCCGCCCAGATCGAGGAGCGGGCTCGTCGCGAGCAATTTGCGCCGGCCGGCCGCGGCGCCCGTGGCGCCGACGACGCAGGACGCCAGCGCGACGAGTGAGTCGCCCTCGTCGAGGTTAACTTCGATGATTCCTCCGTCGTCGACGCGCAGCGGCGGCGCGTCGGCTCCGCCGTTCGCCGGCGCGGCGCCGGCGGGCGGCGGCGCGGCGCTGCCCGCCGCGCGGCCGGCGAGCAGCGCTGCGACGACGACGACAGGGCGCAACATACCCTCTCACGCCATCAACTAAAAAAAAAGCGCAGCTCAAAAGGCCCGCCACTCGACCGCGCCGCCGGCCGTAGCGCGTGACGACGAGTAGCCCAATCGCGCGAACGCGGCGAGGCCGCTCCTTACCCGACCCGTCGCGCGTGGAAAAAGGGCCGGGGGGATAAGACTCGGTGGAAGTCGGCGCAGTGATGGCGGCCGCGCGCGTGCGCAGTGGCCGCGGCGCGTCCGCGACGCGCGGCCGTCATAGTTCGTCCTCCTCGGGTTCGTCCTCCGACTCCTCCTCGTCGGGGATCATGCGCTCCATTTCCTTGGCCTCCTCGTCGCCGAGCAGCTCGAACTCGTCGACCTGCTGGCGGTCGTAGACGAGGACGACGCCCGTGGGCTGCTCGGACTCGGCCGCGATGACCATCTCCGGGAGGTCGAGGACGCTGTAGCTCTGGCAGACGCTGAGGTCGTGGGCCTCGACGACCGCGCAGAACTGCGCCGGGCGCACGCCGCTGCTCCTGTTCTCCCACTCGAAGTTCAAGATCTCGCCGGTGAAGCCCATGTCCTCGTCGCGGACGTAGAGGCCCTTCCACTTCGCCTCCAACGACTTCAGGTTCCGGACCAAGTTCTGCTCCAACGCCTCCTTGTCGCTCTGCTCGATCTTGGCGACGACCGTGCGCGGCCCCGCGTCGGCCTTGGGCGGCGCGCGTTTCCGTCGCCGCGCGGCCTTCGCCGGCTTCAGCGCGAGGCCGCCAGTCGTCGCCGAGGCCGCGAAGATCAGCGACTGGAGCGACGGGGGCGGCTCCGTCGTCGGCACGGCCGCGAGCCTCGCCGGACCCCGCATGGCGCTCACCGCCTGCGCGAGGTCGACGCGCTGCCAGGGCGTCTCGTGACCGTCGACGGACAACGTCGGCGCGCCGACCAGGGGGTCCCGGTGGGCAGCCCCAACAGCAGAGCCGCCGAGCGGTCGGCGTTGGCGCGCAGTCCGCCGGTCGAGAGATCTCGCGCAGCGTTTGAAGCGAAAGGGCTGTCAGTGGACGCGGAGCACCGCACGCACGTGTCACAGGAAGCCCGACTTCGAATCTGCTCATGGCCTCGAGGCGAGATCCCTCGTTTGATCTACACATGACGTAATGTCATTGTTTGCCATTGCCCTTCATGATGATGGGGCCAATCATCGACGCGCATCGCGCAGCTCATCTCGGCCAGCGGCGTTGTCATGGCGCGTCGTGGACAGCCCACGAGGCTGCGCCATGGAACGACGACGACGAAACCGAAGGCGGCGCCCACGAGGAGCCTGCTGCCCACGAAACCGAAGGCGGCGCGGCAACGACGCTCGCGACCGCGCGGCCATCGCCACAAGGAGCTCGAGCTCGGCCTCGCGGGACAATCGAGCGCATCGACCTGCGTGCAGCACCGCGTCCAGTGCGCCGCCGCGCGCCCCCCAACGCCGCCCCAGACCTTCGCGCGCTCCTCCGGGGGCCGCCACGTCGCGCCGACATCGCGCTGCACGCAACACACCCTGTCTCCACAGGTACATCAACTTCATGTCCTTGGTCGAGAAGTGCCGCACCCCAGGGTGCGAGGCGGCCAGGGCGGCGAAATTAAGCATGTGCCGGGCCTGCGCGGCCGCCTTGAAACGCGCGCGCCGCCTCGCCGCCAAGCTCGCGCCGCCCCCCAAGCGTCCGAAACGGGCGTGCAAGCCGCCGCGGAGCGACGAGGACTTCTACGACGACGCCAAGGCTGGTCGTCTCGTGGGCGCCCTTGGAAAATCCGACATGTTGACGGGACGGACAAAAATCTTTTCCCCGGCGCACCGCGAGGCGTTATCTGAGGCGCACACGGGCGTGCCGCTCTCGCCGGCGCACCGCGCGGCGATCCGCAAGTGGCACGCGTCGCCCGAGGGCAAGGCCCACGCCAAGGCCCAATCCGACTTCATGCTCAAGTTCTACAAGACGCCCGAGGGCAAGGCGCACGCCAAGGCCCAATCCGACTTCATGCTCAAGTTCTACAAGACGCCCGAGGGCAAGGCGCACGCCAAGGCCCACTCCAAGGCCCACTCCGACTTCATGCTCAAGTTCTACAAGACGCCCGAGGGCAAGGCGCACGCCAAGGCCCACTCCGACTTCATGCTCAAGTACTACAAGACGCCCGAGGGCAAGCGCGCCGCCAAGGCGACCGGGGCGCGCCTCGCCCAGCTGTACAAGGAGAACATCGAGGCCTGGCGGTACGTCGTGGGCAAGATCAACGCCAAGTACGAGGCGGCGCCGCTCGGCCAGGGCTCGTGCTCGCTCCAGGAGGGCGACCTCGACATGCTCGCGCGCCGGCAGCTCGCTACCACCGAGGGCATGCTCAAGCTGGGATACAGGCGACTCAACGCCGAGGAGCTCGCGGACCTGCGGCCGAAGAAGGGCGAGCGGGCCGACGCCTACGCGGCGCGCTTCCTCGCGGCCTTCGACGCGCTCGGGGGCCCGGGCGGCGCCATCAAGACGTCGAACCTGGCCCTCCAGGTGTACGGCACGCGCGAGCCAGCGTCCTGCGACCGTGACCATTTTCGTGAGATTTTGTGGTAGGTTCGACCGCGACTACGCGCAGTACGACAAGGCCGACGCGGCGCTGGCCGACGCGCGGCGCCAGATGGACGTGCTGAATTTTGGACCCGATGCTCGCGGGGACGTCGAGCGCTACTTTTGTCATTTTTGCGCGAGATGCAAGTACATGCAGAAGACGGGCGAGAACGTCGAGTGCGGGCGCCTGTACTGCGCGAAGTAGGCGCCCGCGTCCAAATCTTCAACCCGACTTCAACGCGCGTGTATTCGCACAGGCCGATGCCGTATCCCCCTATCGGGACCCTCTGCCCCCACCACGAGACGGGGGAGCTGTGCGCGTACCAGCGTCCAATTTTTTTCCCGTCGCTAGCTGACTCCGAACCCGCGCGCAGGTCGCTGGGGCGGCGTGAATGTGAACATCTGCGTGCTCCTCTCCGACGGCCAGAACATCTCGTTCTGCTACGACGCCGCGGGCTTCGCGAGCTCCGGCGAGGCCACGCTCCTGTGGGCGCTCTGCGGCGCCTCCGCGCGGTGCCTGTTCCGTCTGGAGGCCGGCGCGACCGACGACGTCGACGTCGACGACAGCGACGACGAGGAAGTCGAGGAGCTCGTCGCAGTCGCCTTGGCGGTTGACGAAACGGTCGCTGAAGCGGTCGCCGACGAGGCCGCCGACGAGGCCGCCGACGAGGCCGCCGACGAGGCCGCCGAGGCCGACGCGGCCCGCGAGGCCGACTCGGCCGACGCTCCGAAAGTCTCCGGCCAGCAGCTCGAGGCGCAGTGCGCCATGACGATGTTCATGCGCGCGTTGCGCGCCGACGCCAAGGGCGCGGAGCTCTCCTCGTTGTTCCTCTTCTTCAAGAAGGAGGACCGCGACGACGACGCGGACGTCCGCGTCGAGCGCGGGCCGGGCCGGCTCGGCTCCGGCCGCGCGTACAAGGACGACAAGCTCGAGTTCGTCATGGGCCCGATGCGCGCGTTCGAGCGCCGCTTCGTGCGCCGCGGCGGCGACTAATGCAATTTTAGCGGCGTCCGGCGGACGGCGTCGCGAGCCGCGGGCGCGCCGGCCGACCGGATGATGTCCGCGTGACGCATCGGCGCGCGCGCGCCGACGGCATCGGCGACGCACCCCCTCGCCGCGCGCGCGCCTTACGCCGAGGGCCGCGTCATCATGAGGGCGGAGCGGAGGCAGGAGGCGACGAGGTGGCCGTGCTGGTTGAAGCCCTCGTGCTTGAACTGGACGACGCCCTGGTGCGGCCGCTTCTTCGACGGCCGGTTAGGAGGCGTAGACGGGCGCGGCGGCCGAAGCTCCTGCCCCGGTGGCCTAAGCTGAAGTGAGTGAAGGACGCGCGGGCGTACGCGGGCCCCACAAGTTACCCCGTGCGCGTCACCTCCGCGGCGTCGAGCGTCGCGTGCGCGAGGGCGAGGAGCTCCCCGTCGAGCGGGTGGAGCGCCCGCAGGCGCCGGGCCGCGGCGCCGTCCAGGTCGCCGACGCGGACCGCGGCGGCGTTGCCGTCGCCGGCGGCCGCGCCGGCGATGCGCGCCCGGGGCGCGCCCGCGGACGCGAACCCGCGCGGGTCCCAGCCCATGGCCGCCGCGACGACGACCATGAGCTCGCCGTGGCGCTCGAGCGGCCCGAGCACGAGGCTCCCCGCCTTCGCGTGGCCAGCGAGCACAAGGAGGTCGTCCCGCGTGGGCGCGCGCGCGTCACCGCCGCCGCAGTACGTGTCGCCGTCGCCCGCGGCGGGGTACGCCGTGCGCCGTCCCGAGAGGAAGGCCGTCTGCCAGTCGCGCCGCGACGGCAGCGCCGCGTGGCGCGCGGCCGCGCGCACGAGCGCGTGGGTCGGCCCGAGGGGCCGCGGCGCCGCCTCGAGGAGCGCGCGCGTCGTGCCGTTGAAGGAGTACTCGCTGAGCAGGCGCGCGACGGGCTCGCGGACGACGGCGACGACGACGGCCGGCGGCCGGTAGAGCCGCGCCCACGCCGCGAGGAGCGTCGCGTTCGCGCCGGCCGCCGCGCAGGCGGCCGCGGCGCAGGGCCGGTCGTCGCCGGGCCCGCCGTCGACGCGCGCGCGCGGCCGCACGTGCACGTACGCGAGCGCGGTCCCCGCGGCGCGCCGGAGGAGCCCGTGCGTGTGCCGCGTCGACGACTTCGGTATGGCGAGGAACGTGAGCCTGCTACTGCTCCCCAGCTGGTTCCAGACGTGCTGTCCGCAGCGCGCGCTGCACGGGTCGCACGCTGGTCGGCGGAGGAGCGCGTGGTCTTGGCGCGCTCGGACGCAGAGCGCCGCGGCGAGGACGCGCAGCATTTGTCGCTGGTCACTTCGTCGTGCGCGTTTGCCGCGAGGACGCCATCGATCGCCACGAGCCGTTACCGATGCACGGAGAGCACACGTGGGCAGCCCATCACGAGCCTCACCAAGCGCCCATCGGCGCGACTCGATGGAGCCGTCAATGTTGAACCCTGAGAGCATGGGCAGCAGCCCCGAACGAAGCATCGAACGTCCCGGCTGAAATCCTCGAGCGCCATGGAGGACTTCGGCCCGCACCACGAGATCAAGATGGGCAAGCGCCAGAAGGAGGAGCTCGCGAAGACCTGCAGCCGCTTCCTCGACGGCGAGCACATCATGCGCCTGCGGCGGGACCTGCGCCGGCAGCACGGCCTGCCCGCGGCGCCCGACGCCGCCCTCGCGGGCCCCGCCAAGGCCGGCCGCGCGGCGCGCCGCGGCGCCGCGGCCGCGCCCGGCGGGTCCCGCGAGCTCCTCGCGAACCACTTCGCGCGGCTCGTCCGCGTCCGCGTGCCAACGGCCGCGCTCGGCGGCGTGCGCCTCGGCAACGAGGCCGCCGTCGCGAAGCGCGTCGTCGTGCTGGACCCGGGCGCCGCGCCGCTGGAGGCGGGCGACGTCCTGCAGCTTGCCGCTCACCCTCGCTTCAGCCCCGGCCAATCCTCGCGGATCTGGGGCTGATTTGGACCTAGATCCGCGAGCTCGGCTTGGCGCGTCGTTCGCGGCCTGGCCGCCGACCCTGTAGCCCTTGCCCCGCGCCTAGCCTCGCATGGTCATAGAGAGGCCGCCCGACGCAAAAATCCGTCCGTGAAACGCTGTCGGGGGCGGCGCACGCGAACGGTCGGAATCGACGCACTCCTCCTGTGGCGGTGCTTGCGGCGCGGTCCCGCCGGCGCCGCGGCAGCGGCAGCTCCAGGAAGCTCAGGACGCGCGAAGAGGTCCTAGACGGTGCCTCTGACGAAGCGTCGCGACGTCGGGCACGTCGCACGGGTTCGGGGGTGCGGAAAGCCGCTCGGCGGCGCCAGGCGCGAGATTCGCTACGACTTCGCCTGCGCGCACACTTCGCCGCGAAGACGCTCCACGAGTGTTTGTAGACGCACGTCGGACGTCGCCCAATGCCTCGGAACGATTCCAGCTGCTGCGACACCCGTCATCGGCCACTAGCACAGCTTCTACTCGCAGGGCAGCAAATCCGCATGCACGCCTTTGACGCCCAGCGCACGAGATGGCGCTGCGAATGGAGCTCGGGCGCGCTCCAGCTTCCTCCACGGGACACACTCGCCCGATTGCGACCGCTCTACGGCTCGCAGGACTGAACCTGTCGCCGCGACCGCGAACCACAGCCTCGTGTCCTGCGGGCCTCTACCCCTAGCCGTCGCCACCGGTGCTCAAAAGCGCGCGATGGGATGTTTAAGTGTTTTACGGCCCCTTCGCGGGCGAGAAGCGGCGCGCAGCGCTGGCCACGGTCAGCAAAATCACCCGATGCGAGTCGTCCTGGCGGTGGCTGGACGGCTACTGGTCTGGGCGACAATTTGGCCACGCCGTCCGCTGCGGAAACGACGTCGACGAAGGTGATCAACGGGTCGCACGGGGTCGGCACATCAACCGAAGCATTCGCTGAGACCGTCACGGGTTGCAGGACGTGGATCGTTGCTGCGAGCCGTGGTCGAGATCTTGTGCGGCGCCGAGATCTCGGAAGACGTCACAGAGGCGTTCTCGGTGCCCACAGCGGAATCCACGCTGCAGAGAGCCGTTGCCCGTCTGTGCGAACGCCGCGAAGCAGTCGGCGCGCCTCGCGAGCACCGTATCGACCAACGAGCACTTGGTCGCCGGCGTCGCGTTTCACCGACAATCCCGAGCGAGTGATAGCTCCGTCGGAATCGTCGTCCGGGGTGTCAGAGAAGTTTGGCACCTCGAGGGGACCCCACTAGTGGACTCCGAAGCGCCTCAACCCACACCTGATCGTCGATCGTGCAAAATGGGAGCGCATCGCGGCGAGTTGAGGCCGAAAAAGACGCAAATCCGACCGCCTCGTTCTCGCGGACGAGCGCGCGCAATGAGACTGCGCGTTGCAGCATTCGGACAGGGTCTCGTGCGAACCCGTAGAGCCAAGCCGCGCTCAAAACGATGCGATTTCGGCCGAGAACGAGCCCATACGCGCTGGCCGAAGCCGGCAGTGACGCCGAAGCGGCTGTGAGCGGCAAGCCTGCAGCGCCTCGGCGAGGAGCCGCTGCCGTGGCAGACGGCCGCCGCGCCGCTCCTCGCGGGGCTCCGCGACGCCGGCGCGCCCTGGACCGAGTGGTACCTCTGGCGCCCGACGCCCGACGCGGCCTTCGACGCGGCCGAGGTCGCCGTCGCCCTCGAGCCCACGCTCCGCGTCGACCTCGCCAAATTGGACATGCTCCCGGACACGCCCGTGCCCGGCCTCAGCGGCCTGCCCGTCGCCCTCGACGTCGTCGACGCGAAGCGCGGCGTCGTCGACGACGACGACTGGCTCCGGTCCGGCGACGTGCTCGTGGGCCTCGACGGCGCGCCGCTCGAGAACGGCGTAGACGCCTGTGTGCAAATCAACCGCTGGTTTTGGGACGTCCCGACCAAACTTTGAAATTCTCTAGCTCGGTCAAATCGAAGTCGATTCGGCTGATTTTTGGACGGGTCGATTGCTCTCGTCGAGTTCTCGAAGCATAGTAGAAGAGGTTGCATCAAGACCGTCGCATACGATCACATTGAAGTCGGGTTCAAGATTTGATTTCCACACAGGTCGACGCGGCCGCGATGCTCGCGCACGCGCGCCGCGGCGGCCGCGCGCCCGTCGTCACCGTGCTCCGCGCGCGGGCGCCGTCGGCCCAGTTCTGGATCCGCGCCAAGTGCGCCCAGGAGCGGTCCAAGGCCCGGTCCGCGGTGCGCCGCGCGGCGCTCGCGGCGGAGGCACGGCGGGCCGCGCGCGCGCCGGGGCCCTGCGGCCTGCCGCCGCCGCCGCCGCCCTGCGCGGCCCCGTCGTGCTGGGGCGGGACGTAGATGTGTAAGTGCTTTGTTTGTGGGGACTTTTGTGGGGACGCCTGCACGGGTCGCATTGGTGCGGTGGATGGAGCCGTCAATTTGAGGCTCGAGAATGGGCAGCCCTCCATAGCGTGTTCGGACTCCGATTCATCCGCGCGCAGCCTATAGCCGCGACCCATCACACACGGCACGCGAACGTCACACTATGGACACCAAGGCCTGCTCTAGCTGCAAGAAATCGAAGCCGTCCGACGCCTTCCTGCATCCGACGACGTTCAAGGAGGGCAAGACGTGCGCCGAGTGCATCGAGAAGCGAAGCGTGGCCTCGCGGCGCGCCGCGAACGAGCAGGACAAGATACAGCTGACCTTGAGCGAGCACGAGGCGAAGCTTGACGACCACGAGTCGCGCATCCAGCACGTCGAGGCCGCGCGCGTCCTCGACGCGGCGTCGCCGCGCGCGGACCTCGCGGAGTGGATGCCGCTCAAGGATCCCTCGGAGCCCGTCGGCCCGGGCGACCTCGTGGAGATGGTCGACAAGAAGATTTCGCGCGTCGTCACGGGCCGCGGCCGCTGCTTCGTCGTGAGCACGGCGCCGATCCTCACGGGCAACGTCCCGGACGACGAGACCCTCGCGACCGGCCGCGCCGTCGCGATGATCGGCCAGGTGCCCATCAAGGTCGTCGGCGCCGTGCGCGAGTCGCAGTGCCTCGCGCCGTCGGGCCGCGATGACGGCACGGCGGTGGCCACGGACGCGGCCACGGGCATCTGCAGCATGGAGACGGTCGCGGCCGCCGGTGAGTCGGTCCGGCTCGTGACCGCGCTCGTCAACGCCGGCTCGCACGCGCTCTCGAAGACCCAGAAGCGCCGCGAGGCCCGCAAGAAGAAAAAGGCCGAATCCTTCGTCGTCGTCGGCGACGACGACGCCGACGCGACGTCCGACGTGACGACGGACCTCGAGAGCCTCGCGTCGACGCACGCGTGCGTGCAGCAGCTCATCGACGAGAAGCGCGCGCTCGCGGAGCAGCTCGGCGCGATCTCGGAGCAGAACCGGGCCTTCGCGCGGCGCATGCGCGTCCTCCACGTCGACCCGAACATCCTCCGCCGCGTCGCGCGCGGCTGGCTGGGTCGTGTCCGTGCGGCGCGAAAGCTCGCGGCGATCACGGCGATCCAGGCGGTCGCGCGCACGGCGCTCGCCACGGCCCTGCGCCACAAGCTCCTCGGCGCCGTCGTCCGCTTCCAGGAGCGCCTGCGCCTGCGGCGCGCGAGCGCCGTCGTCGTCCAGGCCCTCGCGCGCGGCGTCGTCTGCCGCGCCACGACCGTCGTCGGCAAGCTCCTGCACAAGACGCGCCGCCAGGCCGCAGCGCTCGCCATGATGGAGCGCGAGCTCAAATCCGCCGTCCACGCGAGCCTCTGCCCGGCGACGACGGCGACGCTCGCCGTTCCCGTCGAAGGCGCGTCCGCTTTATCGTGGCTCACGTCGGCCGTGACGAAGATCTGCAAGTCCGGCAAGACTTTGGTCGCCACAGCGTTCACCAAGGATCTCAAGGTCGAGATCCACGGGGAAAACATCGTCTGGGGCGCGAAGGAAATCGAGAAGAAGTCCCACGAGAAGTACTGGTCCGGCAAGATCAAAGAGGTGCTCGCCGACGGCGACTACAGGGTCGCAATGGACGAAGTCACTACTGGAAGTGGAGAAGACAAGAAATGGATCTGCCAGATTTCGGCCAGCAAAATGCGCTTCGTCTAGAAGAGCTACCGCCGACGCAGAGAAAGCGCGAGTCGTGAGCGGCTGGCACCGCGGGAAAAAAAATGCTCCTGCGAAACCTCAGCACGCGCCACTCCCTGTCCGACATTCTTCTCCTTATACCCTACCCTCGACTAAGCCGACCTGTAACTACTGCGCCCGCCCGCGACTCCCCCCGGCGACCCGGGCGAGGCCGAGGTCGCGATCTCGCCCCACTTGAGCCAGCTCTCCAACCGATCTCGCCTCTCTCTCCAAGCTCAGAATCACGATGAGTTCGTCGCCCGTGCCATCCACCCACACCACACCCCCACCCCCCACCCCCCACGCCACTCCGCCACCAAAGACGACACCCATACCGCCCAAATCCCGCCCCTCGGAACCCGGAGAAGCTCTGCAACGTCATCGTCACGCCACCCCGGCTCCACCCATATGTCGCCACACACTCACCGCCCGCAACCCCCGCAGACAAGCTTATCGTCGCCCTCGCCATGCTCGGTACCGCCTCGGCGGCCAAGTACGACAAGACCTTCGAGGCGCGGCGCCCGCGTCCGACGGTGGAGTCAGAACACCGGCGGGCGGAGGCCGCGCCCCCTCCGCCCTAGGTCCTCGGCGAGCTCGCGGAGAAGATCGACGCGCGCGCGCAGGTGAACATCAAGGACACGGCCGTCTCGTCCATCGAGGCCGCGAACCTCGAGGGCGAGGTCGAGACGCAGATCTCGGACCAGATCAGCGCCGGCGCGACGTACGAGCAGAACAGCGCCAAGTTCTCGCCCAAGACGCTCTTCACGCGCTGGACGGCCAACACGGCCAAGGGCGGCGACCCCCTCGAGGTCACGGCGACCTACAACGTCGCCTCGAACACGGCCGAGGTCGACGTCGAGTACGAGAAGTCTGGGTCGACGTTCACCGCCAACTTCGACTCCGCCCGCAAGGCGCTCATCACGGCCGCCGAGGTGTCCCGCGACTTCAGCGTCGAGGGCCGCAACCTCAACGTCGCGCCGGCCTACAACTTCGTCTCCGGCGTCTCGTCGGTCACGTCGAACCTCGCGCTCTCGGACGACACGTCCGTCGAGCTCAAGCTCGACTCCGACGACGTCGGCAACCGCGACGCCCTCACGGGCACGCTCTCCATCGACCACAACATCAACGGCAAGAACTCCATCAAGCCCACCTTCGCGCTCAACTCGGGCTCGGCGACGTACGAGTACACGCGCAAGCTCGACGGCGACGCGGAGCTCTCCGTCGCGGCCAACCCGGGCAAGTCCATCGAGATCGAGTGGGACGACGCCGGCTCCAAGGGCCTCTGGACGACCAACGTCAAGATGCCCTGGGGCAAGCCCGTCGGCGCCTCCGTGTCCTTCAAGCGCAAGTTCAACCTCTAGAGCGCCGCGACCCCCCCGAGCGGGGCGGATACCGCCCCAAGACGCCCACCGGAGCACCGACTCCCCTGGGCACCGCCGCCACGCGCGAGCCTGCATGTAACCTGCGTGAACTGGAGGTGTATCGGCGCGAAGGGGGTTCGGACCCGACGATCGCGCCCGTCCGCGTCCGCGGCGGCGCGGCGAGGAAGACCGCCGGGCGACGGAGCTCTAGGGTAGACGCGATTTCGAGCGAAGGTCGATGGGCACCTGCGTGCGAGGCCTGCTGATGCTCGAGTCTCATGCTCGGCGCGGCGCGGCGACCCCCGTCTCGGCTGTGTGGATGTTGTCGGACCTCGTGTCTCACACGCAGGAACGTCCAAAGCTTTGCGGGCCCGAGGCCAAGGACGCGAGCGGATTGTGTGTGTACTCCGTAAGATCCCCGCCGGCCCAACGAGCTTCTCACAGCAAAGAGCTCGCCCCGTACCAGCACCGCTACATAATGAGTGCGTACCTCCGACTCCTCCGCCCATGTTCGCCACACACTCACCGCGCCACGACCCCCCGCAGACAAGCTCATCGTCGCCCTCGCTGTGCTCGGTACCGCCTCGGCGGACACCGCTTCGGCGCCCGTCGCCAACCTCAAGAAAAATTACAAAAAGAACTTCGATGCGCGGCGCCCGCGTCCGACGGTGAAGCGGCGGAGGCCGCCCCGCCTCCGCGCTAGCCCTCGGCGAGCTCGCGGAGAAGATCGACCCGCGCGCAGGTGAGCGTCAAGGAAGCGGCCCTCCTGTCCATCGATGCCATGAACTTCGAGGGCGAAATCGAGACGCGCGTCTCGGACCAGATCGCGGCCGGCGCGACGTACGATCAGAACGGCGCCAAGTTCAAGCCCAAGACGCTCTTCACGCGCTGGACGGCCAAGGGCGGCGACCCCCTCAAGGTCACGGCGATTATCAACGTCGCCGACAACGCGGCCGAGGTCGACGTCGCGTACGAGAAATTCGGCTCGAAGTTCAGCGCGAACTTCAACTCCGCGTGCGCCCAGCTCATCACGACCGCCGATGCGTCCCGCGACTTCACCGTCGATGGCCGCAAACTCAAGCTCGCGCCGTCCCACGACTTCGCCTCCGGCGTCTCGTCGGTCACGTCGAACCTCGCGCTCTCGCCCGCCACGACCGTCGAGGCCAAGCTCAACTCCAACCTCGGCAACAGCGACGCCCCCACGGGCACGTTGAGCATCGATCACACCATCGACTCCATCTACTCCATCAAGCACAGCTTCGCGCTCGACTCGGGCGCGGCGCGTCACGAGTTCAGGCGCAAGCTCGAAGGCGACGCGAAGCTCTCCGTCGCGGCCAGCCCGGGCCATTCCGTCGAGGTCGAGTGGGACGAGACCGGCTCCAAGAGCCTCTGGACGACCAACGTCAGGATGCCCTGGGGCCAGTACGACCGCGCGTCCGTGTCCTTCAAGCGCAAGTTCAAAGTCTAGCTCGCGCCGCCGCGACCCCCCAAAAAAAAAAACGGATACCGACTAAGAACGTAGCCGGCGGCGAGAATGACCGCCGGGCGACGGCCTGAGGTGCCGGTGGATGCCTGGGTTTGATACCCGGGTCTGATGCTCGGCGCGGTCTGATACCCAGGTATGTCGGGTTTGATACCCAGGTCTCGGTTCGCTGTTAGTCTGCGGGGAGACGCCCGGCGCTAGAGCGCGTCGCCACGCTTTCGGATTCGCCCCCGACCTAGGCGTGCGCGCGCCAGGCGTCGCGCCGCGTGGGACGCGTCCCAAAACTGGCGGGGCTCAGAACACGCTCTCACAACTCTGATTGAGCATCTCGCCTGCACGCCTCGTCGCAATCTTACCCACGTTCCCACCGCCCACCACCAACTAAAATGAGTGCGTACCCCCCAAACACCCGCCCAACACCCGCCCAACACCCCTCCAACACCCTCCCCCGGAATCCCCCCGCTCTCGCGCGCACGCAAAACGATTCCCTTCTCTAAACGTTCTCCTTCAACCCTCGCAGACAAGCTCATCGTCGCCCTCGCCATGCTCGGCACCGCCTCGGCGGGCAAGTACGACAACACGTGGTCCGTCGACATCAAGGACGCGGCCGTCAAGAACATCGAGGGCGTGAACCTCGAGGGCGAGGTCGAGACGCAGGTCTCGGACCAGCTCGCGGCGGGCGCGACGTACGAGCAGAACAGCGCCAAGTTCGCGCCCCGCACGCTCTTCACGCGCTGGACGTCCAAGGGCGGCGACCCCCTCGCGGTGACGGCGACCTACAACGTCCAGTCGCAGGGCGCGGAGATCGACGTCGAGTACGAGAAGTCGGGCACCACCATCGAGGCCAACTTCGACACGGCCGGCGACAACCTCCTCACGAACGTCGAGGCGTCCCGCGACGTCACGGTCAAGGGCCGCACGGTCAACGTCGCCCCGGCCTACAACTTCGTCTCCAAGGTCGCGAGCCTCACGTCGAACCTCGCGCTCAGTGCCGACACGTCCGTCGAGCTCAAGCTCGACTCGACCGACGTCTCGAACCGCGACGCGCTCAAGGGCACCATGTCCATCGACCACTCCATCAACGCCAACGACTCCATCAAGCCCACCTTCGACCTCGACAGCGGCTCCGCGACGTACGAGTACACGCGCAAGCTCGACGGCGACGCGGAGCTCACCGTCGCCGCCAACCCGGGCAAGTCCATCGAGATCGAGTGGGACGACGCCGGCTCCAAGGGCCTCTGGACGACCAACGTCCAGATGCCCTGGGGCAAGCCCGTCGGCGCCTCCGTGTCCTTCAAGCGCAAGTTCAGCCTCTAGGACGCCCCCCGGCGCAACCCCGGCCCGCGCCAAGGCGGCCGGCCCAGCGACCGCGCGTGACCCCGTCCCCGGGGCCCGCGGCTTCTTCCCCTAAGCCCGACCGCGCGACCTCGTCTCTCTCGTGGGGCGGAGGGGGCATCGGCCGGGCCCGCGCGGCGCCGCCGGCCGAGAACGGATGGCCGCGTCCCGCTACCACGTCTCGCAGTAGGGCCGCAGGTCGAGCTCGTGCGTCCACGCGCTCCGCCGCTGCGCGTGGAGCGCCCAGTACGCGTCGGCGATCGCGTCCGGGTCGAGGAGGCCGTCGCGGCCCTTGAGGTCCGCGTACGCCGCCTCGCCGACCAGGTCGCGGACGAACGCCGTGTCGATGCCGCCGTCGACGATCACGGACGCGACGTGGACGCCCCGGGGGCCGACCTCGCGCGCGAGCGACTGCGCGAGCGCCCGCTTCGCGGCCATGGCCGACGCGAACGCGGCGAAGCCGGCGCCGCCGCGCGTCGACGCCGTCGCGCCCGTGAAGATCACCGTGCCCCGCCCCCGCGCGACCATGCCGGGGACGACGGCCTTGGAGAAGTGGAACGCGGACAGCGCGCACAGCTCCCAGACCTTGGTGTAGACGCGCGCCGTCGTCTCCGCGACGGGGACCCGCACGTTGCCGCCGATGTTGTGCACGGCGACCTCGACGGGCTCGGGCACGCCCGCCACGAACGCGGCCACGGCGGCCTCGTCGCGGAAGTCGACGGCCGAAGCAGCCGAGCCCGCGGGCGGCCGCCGCCGCGCGCCGTAGACCTTGAGGCCCTCGCGCGCGAAGCGCCGCGCGAGCGCCGCGCCCGTCGCGCCGCCGCAGCCCGCGATGATCGCCGCCATCGATACGGCAGGCGGCGCGCAGCGCGCAGGCAGCGTTTCGAGTATTTCAGAGCGCCGCGGCGCAGGCGCAGGCAAGGATCGCAGCGCGCGCCGTGGAGGCAGGCGTGGCAGCGTTTGGAGTCGTTTCAGAGCGCCGCGGCGCACCTGCAGGCAAGGATTGCAGCGCTCGCCGTGGAGGCAGGCGTGGAGCGGTCGCAGAGCTGCCACTCGCGAGCTAGCGTCCACTCCTGCGTCGCGCGAGCAGGCTTGCGCGCGGCCCTGCCCGGAGGACGGCTCTCAGAAGTGCACTCCGAAGCCAGTGCAAGTTTGACGGCAACTTACTCCCAGGCCCGGAGCGGCGGCGTCCACTGGGAGAGGCCCGAGGTGACGTTGTGGTAGTAGGGCCGCTGCTTGTCGTCGGACCAGGCGACGCGCCACGCGCCGCCGCCGACGGACTCGAAGAGCTCGTCCCGCGGCGGCGGCGGCGCGGCGGCGCGGTCGTCCGGCGCCGGGGGCCGCGCGTCGACGGTCGCGCCGCCCGGCGGGAGCGCGCCCGGCGCCGTGACCCGGAGCGGCTCCGAGAAGGGCGTCGCGTCGCGCTCGGCGACGGCGAACGCGGCCTTGAACGCGTAGGTGCGGCCCGCGACGAGCGACGTCGCGCGGACGCGCGGCGTTCTTCCCCGGTGGCAGCGGACCCAGGCGCCCGCCGGGTCGTCGTCGTCGCGCATGAGGACGACGAAGACCGCGTCGCGCGAGGGGGGCGCGCCGTCGAGCAGCAATTCGACGGTGCGCTCGCTCCAGCCGCCGCCCGTCGGGTCCCGGACGCGGCTCCTGTCCGGGGGCGTCTTGAACCAGGCGCTGAGCCGCGGCGGCGGCGGCGGCGGGCCCGTCGTCGCGAGCGCGACGTTGCCGAACTTCGAGATCTGCTTCCCGCCGTGGACGACGGAGACGCGGAAGCGGTAGCGCGTCGCCGGCGCGAGGCCCGCGACGCGGCAGCCGCCGCCGGGGCCGCTGTGGACGACGTCCCAGGCGCCCGCGTCGGCCTCGGCCGAGGCGCCGCCCCGGAAGAGCTCGAGGACGACGGCCGCGCCCGCGACGGCCTTCGTGCGCTCGAGGACGACCCTGGCGTCGCGGCGCGCCGCGTAGGCGCGGCAGATGGCCTTCTCCGCGACGCCGTCGGCGCGGAGCGTCGCGAGGACGTCGCGGAGGCGGAGCGCGTCCGCGCGCCGCGCGACGCCGAGCGCCTCGACGTCGCCGACGGACATGGCGCGCTGGAGCACCGCGCCGTCGACCTTGAGCGCCGCGAAGGCCTCGGCGTAGGCCCCGAGGCCGTGCGCGCGCAGGATGACGGCGCGGACCTCGTCGACGCCGAGCCTCGCGAGCTTGACGCGGCCGCGCTCCGCGCGGTCGTCGGCCCAGGTCCGCCGGTCGCCGCCGTCCGCGTCGCCGCCGCGCCGCTCCCAGCGCGGGTCCCAGCGCAGGACCAGGGCCCCGTGCTCCGCGCGGAGGAGCTCGAGCAACGGCGCCTCGTAGGGCGGCAGCTCCGCGGCGCGCGGCCGCCGCCGCCGCGCGGTCGTTTCCGGCACCGCGGCGTCCTCGACGGCCCAGGCGACGAGCTGCGCGAGGCCCGGCGCGTGGTCGCGCCGCGGGAGGTGGAAGAGCAGGGGCGCGGACCCGGGCCGGGCCACGGCCGCGCCCCAGAGCTCGAAGAGCTCGAGCGCCGACGCCGCGGCGCCGCGTCGACCGGGCGCCGCGCCGGCGACGGCGGCGACGGCGCGGGGCAATGGCGCCGGCGCGGCGATCTCGACGAGGCGCCGGAGGGCGTCGACGGCGACGACGGTGCACCAGTGGTCCGCGCCCGCGGGGCGGACGTCGTCGCCGACCGCGAGCGCCGACGCGACGGCGGCGCCGCCGTCGGCCGTCGCGACGGCCGGCGACCCGTCGCCCCGCCGCGGCGCCCACTTCTCGAGGTCCAGGGACACGGCGTCCAGCGCCGGCGGCGCGCCGGGCGCCGCCGCGACGAGCGCGCGCGCGCCGCGGTTCCGCGCGGGCTCGCCGTCCGGGCCCAGCAGCGCCACCCCCCTGTCCGAGAACGCGGCCTCCGGCGCCGCGAAGCGCCGCCACTTGGCCCGGCAGCGCCGGGCGACGCGCGGCGCCTCGACGTCGTGGTTCTCCGGCGCGGCGCGGCAGAACGCGGCCCAGGACGACAGGAGGCCCACCGGGTCGACGGCCGCGAGCGCTCGCCCGACGGCGTCGTCGCCGCCCCGCCGGTCCGCGCGCAGCCGGCCCAGGGCGCGCCGGGCGCCGGACCGCGCCGCCCGGAAGGCGCGGCCCTCGGCCTGGACCGCGGCCAGGGCCTCGCGCTTCGCCGTCCGCGCGGCGCCGGCCTCGGCCGCCGCCGCCTCGGCGACGAGCTGCTCGAGGGCGCTCAGCGCCGCGGGCGCCTCCTTCGCGGCGACGAAGGCCTCGCGGCGCTTCTGCGGCATGGCGATGCGAAATGCCCGCGGGCAGCCTCTCACACGTCTATCATCGTACAGATCAAACCGGCGCCTTAACTTGCACCGGTCTTGACGTCAACCTTAGCCTAGCGCCCGGGCCAGTCTGCGCCCGCGAGTCTTCGACCGCGCCGTCGTCGCGCGCCGCCATGGACCTCAACAGCCAGGAGTTCTACGGCGGGGGCCTGAAGGAGGGCGAGGTGTCGACGGGGACGACGATCATGGCCGTCGCCTACGACGGCGGCGTCATCATGGGCGCCGACAGCCGCGTGTCGACGGGGACCTACATCGCGAACCGCGTCTCCGACAAGGTGAGCCACCTCCACGACAAGATCTTCATGTGCCGCTCCGGGTCGGCGGCGGACACGCAGGCCGTGAGCGACTACGTGCGCCACTACCTCGGGAGCCACGCGATCGAGGTCGGCAAGCCGCCGCTCGTCAAAACCGCGGCGAACCTCGCGAAGCGCATCTGCTACACGAACAAGGAGCAGCTGCTCGCGGGCGTCATCGTCGCCGGCCACGACGACGCCGACGGCGGCTCCGTCTACGTCATCCCCCTCGGCGGCGCGCGCCCGCGCCCCCCCTTCGCTTTTTCCGCGCGCGCGCGACGCCGACGCCGACGCCGCGCCGCCGCAGGCACGTGCCTCAAGGTGCCCTTCGCCATCGGCGGCTCCGGGTCGACCTACATCTACGGCCACGTCGACCACACCTACAAGCCGAACATGAGCCTCGCGGAGTGCAAGGTCTTCGTCAAGGAGGCCGTCACGCGCGCGATGTGCCGCGACGGCTCCTCGGGCGGCATCATCCGCCTCGTCTGCATCAACGCCGACGGCGTCGAGCGCGAGTACCACACCATCTAGGCGCGCCGGGGCCGGCCCCGCGCGACCTAACGACGACCGCGCGGTACGAGGTGGTACGCGGCGCGTCGCGGCCGACGCGACGGCGGCGGGGCCGCCGCGCGCCTCGGCCCGACGGCGCGGCCCGCCTGCGAGTCGCGCGACCGCGGGGGCGCGCGGGCTGCGGGCGCCGCGGGCGCCGCGGGCGCGCTGCGCGCGAGGGCTCGAGCAGCTCGATCTGTGACTCAGACCGCCACAAGCGCCGCAGCAGCCTCTCGCACGCCGCGCTCGACGCCTCGTCGCATGCGCATCGCATCGCGGCTGCTCGGCACGAGGCTGCTCGGCATGTCGGCCATGAGCACGAACGCCGCCAAGCCCGTGCTCCGCGGCGTCGTCTTCGACATGGACGGCACGCTCACGGTGCCCAACCTCGACTTCAAACTCATGTACGAGCGCTGCGGCGTGCCGATGAGCGAGGACATCCTCGAGGCCATCGCGAAGATGCCGCCAGCTGACGCGGACGCGGCCAACGCCGTCATCGACGAGATGGAGGCCGAGGGGCGGCGCACGCTGCGCCTGATGCCCGGCGCCGCCGAGGTCGCCGCGTGGCTCCAGGCCATGGACATTCCGACGGCCATCGTCACGCGGAACACGCGGGCGACCGTCGACCACCTGCACGACGCGCTCTGGGCGCCCAAGGGTCTGACGCCCTTCTCGCCGGCGATCACGCGCGACGACGCAAACGTGAAGCCCAAGCCCGACCCGGACGCGCTGAGGGTCATCGGCGAGGCCTGGGGCGCGCCGGCGGCGAGCCTCGCGATGGTCGGCGACAGCCCGTCGAACGACGTCGTCTTCGGCAAGAGGGCCGGGGCCTACACGGCCCTGGTGGACACGGGCCGCCGCTTCGTCGAAGGCAAGGGCGACGAGGGCGCGAGCGTCACGATCCCGCTGCTCGCCGGGCTGCCGAAGGCGCTCCTCCGCGACTTTGCGGTCGCGAGCGACAAGGCCGGGGCCCTCACCAAGTTCGAGACGCCTATTCCTAAAACGCCCGCGGCCGTCGCCGCGGCCGCGGGCGACCTCGCGGCGCTGCAGGCCTGCGCCGACCTCGCGGCGCCCGACGCGTCCGCGAACACGCCGCTCGTCTGGGCCGCCGACGCGGGCCACGCCGACTGCGTCGCGTTCCTCCTGGCCGCGGGCGTCGCCGCGGACGCGCCGGGCTTCCTCGGCGCGACGGCGGTCTGCCGCGCGGCGCGCGTCGGCAACGTCGACGCGCTGCGGGCGCTGCTGGACGCGGGCGCGGACCCGAACCTCGCGAACGACAAGCTCCAGTCGCCGCTCCACTTCGCGGCCTTCAAGCGGAACCCGGCCTGCGTCGCCGCCTTGCTCGACGCGGGCGCGTCGACGCTCATCCTCGACCGCAAGGGCCGCACGCCGGACCAGGACACGAAGGACGCGGCCATCATCGCGACGATCCTCGCCGCGCGCGCGGCACGGCCCCACGAGACGTTCTAACCTCCTACGCCGCCCGCTTGACAGCGAGCGTGAGCGCGAACCCCGCGGCGTAGCGGCAGCCGACGAGCGCCGCCGCGGCCTTGGCGAGGCCGGCGGCGCCGCCGCGCCAGGCGACCGCGACGGCCGCGGGCGCGAGGACGTACCACGCGAACGGCCCGACGACGAGCAGGGCCCGCAGGAGCCAGCGCGGCGTCGCGAGGTTCGACCGCGCGACGAGGGAGCCCATCTCCGCGGCGCGGCGGAACAGGTCCCCGGCCTTGCCGTCGTCGCGCGGCACCGTCGGCCCGCCCTGGACGTAGACGCAGCCGAGCGCGTTGAGCGACTGGGGCGTGCCCGACTTCTCGTACCAGTGGACCGCCTCCTCGAGGTTCCGGGGCAGCCCGTCGCCCGCGTGGTGCATGACGCCGAGGTCGTTCATCGCTTGCCGGTGGCCGAGCTTCGCGGCCTTCTCGTAGAGCCGCGCGGCTTTGCGCTTGTCCGGCGTGAGGCCCAGGGCGACGACGGGGCAGCCCGCGGGGCCCCAGCCGTCGTCGTAGCACTTGGCCAGGTGGTAGACCGCGGACGGCAGCCCGGCCTTGGCCGCGCGCCGGAGGTGGGCCAGGCCCTCCTTGGGCTCGCCGTCGCGGAAGAGCATCATCGCGCAGGCGTAGGACGCGTCCGGCGACCCCCGCTCGGCCTGCGCCTTGAGCGCGGGCAGGTGGTGGCCCTCGGGCGGCGGCACGAGGTCGCACCAGCACGTCGGGCACCGCGGGTGGCGGCCCTCGGCGAGCGCCTTCTGCCCGAGCGCGTTGCTGCAGGAGACGCAGATGGCCGTCGAGCAGTTCGGGCAGACGTGGCGCATGCCGTTCTCCGTCGGCACCTCGGCCTGGCACGCGCAGCAGCGCAGGACTGGCGTGAGCATCGTCTCGATGGATGGGGCAGCGTGCTTGAGGTCGGCGATGCGATCGTTGTTGCCTCAGCGACTCGCGGCCACGATGGGAGCGTCGCTCGAAGAGCTCGCGGCGGCGATCGGCGTGCAGGGCGCCAAGGTCAAGGAGCTGAAGACGGCCAAGGCCGACGCCGGCGCCATCAAGGAGGCCGTCGACGCGCTGCTGGCGCTAAAGAAGGAGCTGACGGCCCTGGACCCGTCGCACGCGCTGGCCATCGTCGACAAGAAGGCGAAGAAGAAGGGCGGCGGCGACGCGCCCAAGGGCGGCGGCGGCGGCGCCCAGAAGCCGAGCAAGAAGGAGCTGCGCATGGCCGAGCGCGCGAAGAAGGCCGAGGCGGGCGCGGCCGCGCCAAAGGCCGACGCGTCCGCGTCCGCGGACGTCTTCGGCGAGGTGCCCACGATCATGTCCACGGAGCTGAGCAACAAGGTCTGGACGCCCGTGTCCGCCGTGACCTACGAGGCCGTGGGCACGACGGTGCTCGTCCGCGCGCGGCTCCACACGGTCCGCGCCAAGGGCAACCTGGCGTTCCTCGTGCTTCGGCAGGGCTGCTTCACGGTCCAGGCCGTCGCGGCGGCCGGCGGCGACGCCGGCGTGCCCAAGGCCATGATCGCCTTCGTCGGCAAGATCCCCTCGGAGTCTATCGTCGACGTCGAGGCCGTCGTCGCGGCCGCGGACGTCGCGTCGTGCTCGCAGTCGGACGTCGAGCTCGCGGTGAAATCGGTCTTCGTCGTGTCCAAGTCGCTCCCGGACCTCCCCTTCCAGATTGTCGACGCGTCGCGCAACGAGAACGAGCCCAAGGACGGCGAGGTCGTCGTGGGCCTCGACACGCGGCTCAACCACCGCGTCATCGACCTCCGGACGCCCGCGAACCAGGCGATCATGCGCGTCCGCGCGGCCGTGCCCCTGCTCTTCGCGTCCTACCTCGACGCCAACGGCTTCGTGGGCACGAACTCGCCGAAGCTCCTCGCGGGCGCGTCGGAAGGCGGCTCGTCCGTCTTCAAGCTCGACTACTTCGGCCGCGACTGCTGCCTCGCGCAGTCGCCGCAGCTCTACAAGCAGATGCTGAGCGCCTGCGCCGACTTCGAGCGCATCTACGAGATCGGCCCCGTCTTCCGCGCCGAGGACTCGAACACGCGGCGCCACCTCTGCGAGTTCACGGGCTTGGACTTCGAGATGGCCATCTACGAGCACTACTACGAGATCCTCCACGTCTTCTCCGAGCTCTTCGCCCACATCTTCTCGTCCCTCGAGTCCAAGTTCGCCAAGGAGCTCGGCATCATCTCCCAGGTCTACCCCTTCGAGCCCTTCAAGTTCCTCCCCAAGGCGCTCCGCATCTCCTTCGCCGAGGGCATCGAGCTCCTCCGCGCCGCGGGCGTCACGGAGGAGATGCAGGGCAGCTTCGACGACCTGTCCACGGAAAACGAGAAGACGCTCGGCGACATCGTCAAGGCCAAGTACGGCACGGACTTCTTCATCATGGACAAGTACCCGCTCAGCATCCGCCCGTTCTACACGATGCCCGACCCGGAGACCTACGGCAAGGTGCCCCCGGCGCAGCAGCTCTCCAACTCCTTCGACATGTTCATGCGCGGCCAGGAGATTGTGTCCGGGGCCCAGCGCGTCCACGACCACGCGCTCCTCATGGAGCGCGTCAACTTCTGCCACAGCGGCGGCGGCCACGGAGGCCCCGCGCCCGAGGACATCAAGGGCTACACGGACGCCTTCAAGTACGGCGCCTTCCCCCACGGCGGCGGCGGCGTCGGCCTCGAGCGCGTCGTCATGCTCTACCTCGGCCTCACGAACATCCGCAAGGTGTCCTGCTTCCCCCGCGACCCCACGCGCCTCACGCCCTAGGGCGCGCACCGTGCGCCCACTCGCCGAACAAGGCCGGCGGGCCGTGCTCGTAACAGCCGGCGGGATGAGGGGCGACCGGCCGCGCGCGCATCCGCGGACGGCGCCGCGCCGCGCCGGACGCGCACGCTATGATCTCGTCGCTCGGGCGCCTGTATAAACACCAGCGAACGCGGGCGTCGAGCCCGCGGGCGGCGAAACAGGGGAACCGTTCCACGCGACTTACGTGTCCTGCCCCCAGACGTACTTGGGATAGGGCTCCGCGAGCGGCGGCGACTTCGGGCCGCCGTTCTCGAGGCTCCGCACGACGTTGTTCCACCAGATCTGCTGCCCCGCGCTCTGGATCCGCATGATCTCGGTGCGCGGCATGTTCTTGAAGTCCGTGTTCGCCTGGATGTAGTCGTTGCCCATGCGCCCGTACTCGCCGAGCGCT